ATAAAGTCACTGGATTCCATTTTGAAAACCTGCTGAGAGAATTATGATAGATACATTTAGCCATTAGCCAGAAATTTTAATATATATAAATTAAATTGATATATATATATTTTAATTTTTAGTTGTAGTTGGACACAATGCTTTTATTTTATTTTATTTTATTTTATTTATTTGGAAGGAACCCAGGGCCTCACACGTGCTGGGCAAGCACTCTACCGCTGAGCCACAACCCCAGCTCCTAGCCAGACATTTAGATGGTGTCTTTCTTAAAGGCACGGGGTTGGTGGGAAGTGCCAGGAAGGGAGGCACTGCGCTGGGTGGCGCCGCTGACACTCCTGGATCTCGCTCGCAGATGCTGGGCAGCGGAGAGTGCGGAGAGTTCGGAGAGTTCGGAGGAGGAGCAGGAAGAAGAGCCGGAGGAGACCGGGCTAGCAGCCAGCCCCTACGACTACCGGAGGCTCCTGCGCAAAACCTCCCAGCGCCGGCGCCTGGTAGAGCAGTTGTAGCGCAGCTACTGAGAGGCCACCGTGGCCAGAAAGTGCTCAAGCCTGAGGGACCACAGGGACCAAGGAGGGAAAATCTGGAGCTCTGACACCTCCAGGGACTGAAGCCCAGTGCTAGACCTCGGTAGGGGCTTCCCGCTGTGCGTGCTCCTCAAATGCTGGGGCCAGCCTTGCGTGCCCAGAAGGAGGAGCCCTCGGGAAGCCCCAGGCGCTGCACCCTAAAGACCCTCCCCGGACCCCGCACTCCCTTCTCCAGAGCCCTTGAGTTGGAGCTGCCCTGTCCCTATCTCCCTAATGTATCTGTTCATTCGTTTGAGACTCTTTTTGTGAATCCAGCTGCATCTGAGCTGACATCAGCCCCTCTCTCATTTTGGGTGACATCAAAGTTTTTTGTTTTTTTTCCTTTATTGCAAACAACCGTCTCAGGCCTACTGGACAGTTTCAGGTGGGATGAGTCTTCCAGAACAAAGCCTGGGTGGGAGCAAGGAAGGTGAATTTCATCTCAAACTGAGCTTTCCTTTCTCGTGGTCACTAAGATTGCTGAATAAACGAAGCGCCTTGAAAAATCCGTGGTTTGCAGAGCAGGCTCATCAAGTTCGCTTTGGGGTCCCCGCTTCTGCTGTATAGATGTGCTGGTGGCAGCTCCCAGAGACAAGAGCTGAGGTGCCCCCAGTCGCCATTAGCAAACGCCCTCCCCAACCACCTCAAACCCACACAATCTAAATTAATCCCCCCGAATTTGTCATGAAAACACGGCCTCCAAACAAAACTCCAGACCCCCAACACACCACACACAAACGTGCTGCTTTCCTAATCAGTGTGGCTTCCTTTGGTCTTGCCTAGAACAATTCCAGCCCTACCAGTGAAGGGAACTGTCAGGCTTTAAGTTCACCTACTCTGAGATTTGGGGCAATCTGGACCGCTCCGAATTTGAGTGTACTTAAGATGAGGGGGGAAAGTAGTGAATGGGCAGAGGTCTGCATTCAGCAGTTGACTGCAAGTTAATTCAAAAACAGGGTTAAGACTTTCTAGAAAAGACATCCTTCAGGTCTCCTCCGGGAAAAGGGGGAGGTGGGATGGCTAAGTGATTCCTTGAACCACTGAATCAGAAGAAGTGTTCTGGCGGGGACTCGTCCTTTCCAGGAGTATCCTCAGCTCCTGTATCCTGGGGCCCGAGCCAGAAGACTGGGAAAATACTGGGAGTTAGCAAGTGACAGGGTGGCGGTGGGGTGTGATAATATTTGTAGCGCCGCTTCTCCACGGGTTGTAATAGTCTCACCAGAGAGTTAGATCCGAAAGCTCCCCCAGAGATTGGACTTGTGCACCCTCTCCATTTTATGGAAGTCCAGCCCCAGGGAAATCTCCAGCTGGAACTGGGACAAACCACCAGTTGAAATGCTCTGTAGGCCCTGCTCGTTTCCTGGGTTAGCGCTGTCAGGGCTTGGGACCCAAGAGTCACCCCTGGTTGTGTGGACCCACGAAGCTATGGGACCTGGTCCTAGCACCAACAAAACCAGCACAGCAGGGCATGTAGCTGGTTATAGGGGTAGGCTCAAGGGTCTACCTTGAGGTGGCCCGGCCCCATCTACTCCTGCCTTCCTACCCATCCACCACCAGGAGACCCTCTGCAGGTACGTGCGTGCGAGGACTGAGCTCTGACTGAGCTCTTCGCTGCTAGGCCCATTCTTCAACCCAAGCTTCCCAGGTGTCCCCTGCAGATCAGAGAGCCCTGGAATCAGCTCTTGCTTGGTTTGTTGGATAGGGAGGCATCAGCTATTATCCCTAAATTCCCTACTTCTCCCCTCGCCCTTCCCCACAGGGTTTTTTGTTTTGTTTTGTTTTTGTTTTTTAAGTGAGACTGGAAAGGAGAATGGCCAATGCTTTGGTGAAATGTTGCAATGTATTTGTTTCCTTTTTCTTTATCCTTTTTTTTTTTTTTTTTTTTTTTTTTTTAGCATCCCTCCTCCTTCCTCTGTCCCTCCACATTTAAGCACTGAAAAAAGGACACAAGGGAAAACTTGTACCAGATAGTTTTTCTTTGGCCCGGGCTACGACGCGACCTCTGGGTAAACTACGGACAAGAAATAGGTCACAGCAGCAAGTAAACCGTGCCCAGCGGACTTCCCTTGGAGCTTTGGGTCTGTCCCCCTATTCGGAAAGGCCTTCCTTTCCAAAGCTTTTCCCCAGCGCTGGCCCGCCTTCTCTAACCAGTCGGTGGCTGCCTCCTTTGTGAACTAATGACTGTAATTATTACCTCCCTTCACTCTTTTGTTATCTCCAACCCGGAGTCGAAGAGAGGGAGCAATGGGCTTTTCTGCGAAATGAAATTCTTCACAAAGCAAATTGCTGTCTAAGGAGAGATGGCGTTAAGGAAGGACGAACCAGATTCCTGTCTGCATCTGAAGTAGGGGATTTAAGTAAAATTTTAAAAATGTTAAATACCACCAGCAGATGCAGAGTACTTGGGGGCTGGATTTGATGGCGCTTAAACAGTAGCAATTTTAAATCATTGTTTAGAAAAAAAATCAGTTAAATTCGGATGTTGAGATTTCTGCCTTCATCTTTTAAAATATCCGTTTCTTTCTTGGGGTTTTTGTGTGTGCACGCGCGCGCATTAAACGCTTGTTTTCTTAAGAACCTTTTTTAAAATTTCCAACCACTCATCCATAGTAGAAAAGTTCTACAACCCAATCCTGCTGGCTTGGAGAGAACTATGTGCAGGACTTAGTGTGGATTTAAACAAAGAACTAGGTTCGTCGATTCGTATTTGAGAGGCGCGCGAGAGAACTGCGGAGCTGACCTTCCTGCAGCCCAGACGACTGAACCAAGGTCTCTGCTTCCTGGGACTTGTAACCTTTGATAAGCGGAGCTTCGGAAACCCTAGCTCCTGAAAGGGGCGGAGCTGCACTCAAGGTTGCTGCACTCTGGCAGCCGCCTACTCCTGGCTTCTTAATACAGCCAGCTCAGCTCCACCCGTTGGTCAGGACCCAGAGAGTGACCGTCCCTACTCCCATCCCTGGGTCCCACAGCCGCAGTGTGGATCCTATGTTTCCTCCAGGATCAGCTGGATTAGGCACGTGGAAAGAAGACAAAGCTTAGTGAAAAGAATTGACCAGAGTGTAGCATACCCAGGGAAACAAAATTTGGGCCTGTACGTGGCCATCGCGAGCCCCAAGACGCCTCTCCTAAAGGAGGATCCAGGGATGGTAGCCAAGACTGAGGATCCAAGGGTCTCTGCTTTGGCAACAGCTTTGGTGACTGGTTCTAAAGACAGAGAAAAAATGCTTGTGAACACAATGGAAATGACCTGAGATCCAAGAGGACTCAGGGAACGCAGACACCAGGAGAGGCTGAACACATCTCCTTCCCGCCAGAGCCATATATTCATATTTCTCCCTCTCCCTCTCCCTCTCCCTCTCCCTCTCTCTCTCCCTCTCCCTCTCCCTCTTTCTCCCCCCCATCCCCTCGGAGCTGCCAGTTGTAAAAGTTGATATCCACTTTCCATTGCCAAAAGAAGGCAAGGGGAAGTCTGCTGGAATCAAATCTTTGGAGCACCTACCCTGTTTAACCATTTTTAGATAAAGAAAATCATCAGACAAGAAAAGACTCTCACATTTATTAGAAAAGGATTCTTTCCCACCAAGCCTCAGAGGCAGCCAATCTTGTTCTCCTCGGTATCCCCCTAACTTGAAGATTACCTTGGGGCAGGGGGAGGGGGTCATTGTTTTGAGGCCCCCTAAAACGAAGGGCCAAGCAGGTAATACCTTCTTTTCCTCTTGGATTTGGAAAGCCCAAATTGCTTAGTTGGAAACTAAGCAATGTGCACCCCTCCCACGCACATACAAATTCTAGTCACAGGTAAGCAGCTGGCCCTTTTAAGCCTTGTAGACCAAGGTCATCAAACGACTGGATCCCATCCCCCATCAACCTTCAATCCAGCAGGCTCTGGTTGCTCTCCCCGCACCCTTCCAAGAGGTTTCCGTTCGTTTTATTTATTTTTTTCCCCAGCCCGAGGTCCTCAGTGATAGACTCCAGCGTGGATTTTAATTGCCTCAATCAGCAGTCTTTCTCCCCAGCCGTCACTCAAAACCTGGACGGTGGGTCCAGCGCTTGGCTGCGCAGGAATGGCATGCTCCAGGGCCAGCACGGCTCAGTAGGCACGCATTAGGTTCTACTTAGGAGCTGAAATGAGCCCTTCTGCGCTTAGACGCCCTTCCCCCATTATACCCTTCCCAGCTTCTGAATTGCGCCTGATTATGGCCTGACGGCTAGAGCGCTTGAGGTCGCAGCGACCTCCTCACCCGCTTGGAGGGAGAGGGCCAGGGAACCAGGTTTCCTTCCCAGAAGCCAGAGCCAGACCTCAAACAATACATTCTCCCAGGTCCGCCCCGCTCTAAGGCTAGCGCACGGTCGATCGCAGTAGGACCCTGGACAGCGCGCCTGGGCAGCAGTGGGCAGCTACCACCACAAGACGCTGGCTCTTCTGGGGCGCTCGTGCACGCCCCATTCTGTCTCCAGCTTAAGTGTACTGTCTGCCTCACACCGTAAGGATTCAGCTCCCTATCTCTCTCCCATTTTTCCCTCCTTCGCCTCCTCATCCATCCCCTCTAGGCTCCCTGTCCTTGAAAATCTCTCTGGCGCTTTGCGCTTTTTAATACCCAGTATGTGAGGAGCCTTCGGACCCCTTCCCCATTTAACCTCTGCAGCTTCCACGGCGTTACCACATCCCTAAGCCCCAACTCTAACACACGCGCCCACACGCAGACACGCACGTTTCCTGTCCCTGTGTGACACCCACCCTCGTCGCGCGTCCGCACCCGTCCCCGCGCAGTGCCCTCCTCCCGCCACACACTCGCAAGCACGCGCGCGCAGGGCCGAGCCTAAGGCTGCTCGCCCCGCAGCCCGCACTCAAGACCTGCTCCAGTCTCGCAGCGCGGATGGCATCTCCGGGCTCCAGCTTTTGGTCCTTCGGGTCCGAAGATGGCTCCGGGGATCCTGAGAACCCCGGTACAGGTAGGAGAGTGGGGATCTGCAGCTGGCGAGCTTTGTAGGTGGCCCCGGGTTTTTCAGGGCTCCTGAGAAGACGAAGGAGGTTTTACCACCTGCAACAGGAAACTTCTTAGAATGCTTTGCCCTGCTCTCATGTTAAGTCCTGGTCCGCCCGAGAACCCAAGACCCCCACAGCCCTTTTCTCCCTTGGAAGATGACCAAAGAATCCCAGATCCTTTCCTCCTGAGGTTAGGAGAGCTCCTCAAACGCGGGGGCATCTCCAGAACAACAAATTCCGTGGACCTAGGACACTGCATCTTGGTGTCTAGATTCTGGTCTGGGACGGAGTGGCGGTGGGGAAGGGGAAAATGGGAAGGGGAGAGAATTGTTGGTCTGAAAAGAGAGCTTGCAAGGAAATGGACAGTTTATTGACTAGAAAAACTAGCTCAAGCGAGGCACGTAGGAGAGTTTTTCAGAACCCATCCGCACCTGGAAGGCAAGTACAAAGGGCCGCAGTGTGGGCTTCTCCTTTGAAAACAAATCAGTGTCCTGAGGGCTGGTCGGGGTTGTTAGGACCGCTCTAGCTCCCCGCACCTGTCTGCGCACTGTCCCAGGCGGCCCTTTCCCACATCCCTAGGTTGTTCACTTAGAACAAAATTTCACACGTCCATCAGCTGATCTCTTTATGGTTCCCTGTCCTCCTGCCTGTCTTTCTTTGCAGCGAGAGCCTGGTGCCAGGTGGCCCAAAAGTTCACAGGCGGCATCGGAAACAAGCTGTGCGGTAAGTGCTGGAGCCCAGGGAAGGGGAGCTGGCAAAGTCTGGTGCTCGCGGCCCGCGGGAGCAAAAACGTCTTTTCACCTCTGCACCCCATCTTTGAATAGGGGTGTATTGGCCGCGATGGGCGAGGGTGAGAGAGCTGGGCCTGTCAGGCCGTTGACCTAGGCCCGCGATCTGTGTTCTTATCCAGCTTTGCTCTACGGAGATGCTGAGAAGCCAGCGGAGAGCACCGGGAACGTGCCCCCGCGGGCCGCCTCCCGGAAGGTCGCCTGCACCTGTGACCAGAAACCTTGCAACTGCCCCAAAGCGGATGTCAACTATGCTTTTCTACACTCAACAGGTAAAGGAGTCTCACTGGACCCCAGGGCCCCCCTGCCTCTTGCTCTACCCCGCCCAACTCGGCCTGGGCGACACCCATTGCGCTGGGAGTTTTCGGGAGTAGAGTGGTGATTCCCAAAGGCTGGCCCTATAAGAATCTTGAACTGTACGCGAGAAAAGCTTGATGGAGTCCCAGTCTCTTGCGCTGCAGCGCCCTTGCCCCAGCACGGGCCGGAGCTGCGGGTGGCCGAGGGGCCTGGCGCTCTGTGGATCCTTGTGGTCTTCGCTAGGTTGCTGGGGTCCTCGGGTGGGATTCAATTTCTAGATGTCCTGCGGGAGAATTCAAAATTGCTGAGATATTTTAGATCTTTAGATTAGATCGAAGGAGTAACGTGTAGCTGTGATTTCACAGGGGAAAGATTTTGTACGAGTGAGACCTACCCGCTAAATTTTACCCCGTGGGCTTATACCCTCAGTCTCGCAAACACGCGCATACACACACACACACACACACACACACACACACACACACACTGACTTGGGGAACAGCGGATCTTTAACAGGCCCATTCCACTATGCCTGGTTTGCCCAAAGGCATTTCGTAAATACTTTGGAAGTGAGATATTTCCATAAACATTTAAAATGTTTTAGGACAAGGTCCTGTGATCAGATAAATGGAGGCACAATTTCTGAAAAAGCAAAAGAAAGAAAGAAAGCAAACAATGTTGTGAACTAAAATGCAAGAGTTTTTTCCGGGAAGAGGAGAAATCATAATTGCTCTCATTCATTCCCTTTGAAAAATGCCTCTCCTTTAAAGAAAATGCTCTGCCTTTCCAAAAGTTTTTATTGTTGTTGTTGTTTGTTAATGTAAAATCTCTGGATTCAAAGATACATTGGTTGCCCGGTAGAGATCTCGCCTGAATATTTTCATAGTAAAATGGTGTCGTTTTAATTCCATTCTTTAGACCTACTGCCAGCGTGTGAAGGAGAAAGGCCCACTTTGACATTTCTGCAAGATGTTATGGACATTTTGCTTCAGTATGTGGTGAAAAGTTTCGATAGATCAACCAAAGTGATTGATTTCCATTATCCTAATGAGCTTCTTCAAGAGTATAATTGGGAATTGTCAGACCAGCCACAAAATTTGGAGGAAATTTTGATGCATTGCCAAACAACTCTAAAGTATGCAATTAAAACAGGTATTGTCCTATCAGAAATAATAAAGCTCTTTTTTTCTTTTAGAATTTTTATTTTTTCTATAAAATGTTTTGTTTTATGGAGTTACTGATATTTTCAAAATTGTAAAGCTATTTTCATCATTTAAAAATAGTAATGATTCAAATGACTCAAATCAAAAGCATTTTCTGTTATTGTTAATGCATCTGAAGTTGATAATATAAGAAATATCATCTTAGCATAAACTGTCAGCATTTACATTGCATGCCTTTGAGCATGGAGATTAACCACTGATGTAGAAGCAACTGTTTGTCAGCAGAGGACAGTAGATTTGACCCAAAAATAGAAAAAGAAAGGGAATATGGAAATGAAAGCTCAAAGGCATCCAAACAAAAGCCTGAATTCCAGTATGGTGCTGGTAATTTCCAGGCAAGAACTAGTCAGGGACCTAACCATGTTATGTAACTATTGAGCTGGAGCTATAATGTTGTGGCATTGTCTCAATTAGCCGGGACTTCAGATTTGAATTTCAGGTTTTCTCCTATTTTTTAAAGAAGTGCGTACATGCACGCACGCACACACACACACACACACACACACACACACACACACAAACACAAACACACTATATACACTAGCTTAGCAATTCAGTCATAATATATGAGGATATAAGGATGTGTCCTTCACGGGCATTGTGTAAAAAGATAAAGAAAGGCAAGTGCGGGGATGGGTGAGGGTGGGCAAAACTGATATTCTTAGGAGCACATTTTAAAAAATGTATTTTGTAGCCTAGATTTGAGCAGTATTCTTTATTGTCCATCCATTTTATAGTTCCAGGTGTAACATTTATTTGGGTGCATTCCAACCTTTCTTTTTATCTACACAAAATCAATTGTTCATCAACCCAGGGCCTGATTACCCTTCTTTTTTCCTACATTGTCTCCTATCATCCTGATACAGGTTAGCGTGGCACTTCATTAAAGCAACAAAAATAAATGCAAATGAATTTCTGGGGAGAGAAAAGACCTACTGTATCTAAATTGATTTATAGCTTTAAAAGGATTTACTTACAGATAAAAAATGTGAAATATTATATAAACGTTAATTATCATAGACATGGCATATTTTATATTGCAATTTTTCTTGATGAATTATCAATATTGTCCTAATCAATGACAACCATTTGAAGAATGTTTGATGGGAGATTTTCAGCTTTTTTCATTTTTTATTTTGCACATTCTTTGTACCAACAAAGAAAGGTATGCACAGACAAAGCCTTGGAAAATTGATTTATTGTATTATTTCCCACTTTTGTGAAACTAGAGATTTAGAAGAAGATACACAGAGGAAAAAAAATTAACTTGTTGACTTCCATCAGACTGTGGAGTGTGGTTTTCAAAGGTTTATTAGATATCAATCAATTAACATTCCTGAAGAACACACAAGATGTATATACACCAGTCATTAAAAGATGTTTCTCCCCCACCAGCTTTTAATATACCTATAGATGCAAACCTGAGCAATATTTTAAATCATTTTTGTTTTACCCATGCCCCTTACCTAATATTTAAATGTTGATAGTAAATTGGAGTCTATTGACACCAAACCAAAAAGAATGTATAAAATGTTTTACATCTCCATCCTTGAAAGCTGGTGGTATTTGAAATGCAATTTAAAGGGTTGAGATAATGGCAATGCAAGTCAATAAAAGTAATAGTTCTGTCTATCAATGTTCCATTTAGCGTCAGGAAAAAAAAATGGGCCAATTCAATACTTAGATTTTGCCATAATGCACATGAAACTGTTCATCAAGTGTTGCTCTATTACTTTTTATTTAAAGTTTAGATAAATATCTGATGTAGTTGGATTTCTAAGTAAAGCATATCAATACTAATATAATATCTCAACAATATTCCTATCATATGTAGTATTCTGGCCTTCTTGTCCCAAATAGTATTTTAGAAATTTAACAATAGGCACCTTCTCTCTTCAACTGGTAAGTTTACAGATATTTATGCTTCAGCATATTTGTCAACCAGTACTATTTAGGGTCTCCATCAAAGTAGTTACCTTGCCTGCTACCATCCTGCATTTTCATAATCCTTGGGCAATTCCTTTAGAAAATGCTTGTTATCACCTGGTTTCCACTGAGAGTCCTTAGTTGACTTTCACTTGGGCTCCAAGCTTAAAGAGGAGGTAGGCACAGTGGGGGAATTCATTAAAATGAAGTCTGCATGTGTAGAGTTTTTTTTTTTTTTATGAATGTTGCAATAGGAAAACTTCAGTGAATGATAGGATTCTGGAATAGTTAGTGTTTGCAAGGATTATTAGATTTGGTGGGGGTAGAGGTAGTAAGAGGGGGTAGTAGGGACTAATATATCCTCGACTCTTCAATTGAGCCATCAGACAAAGGGAAGTGAAATATCAGTAAATGATGCTGTCCTTGTTTGGGTCACTACTACACAAAGAGCAGTATGTGGGGGCTGAGGTTATGGCTCAGCAGTAGAGCACTTGCCTAGCATTGGTTCTATCCTCAGCACCACATAAAAATAAATAAATAAAATAAAGCTATTGTGCCCAACTACAACTAAAAAATAAATATTTAGGAAAAAAAAAAAAAACAAAGAGCAGTTTGGATGTCTTTGGCCCCTCCCCAACTGATTGTGAACACCAAATCCGAGTTGCCAGAGGCTGGTAGTTCGAAGAGTCTGTGCATCCTTTTGAGCTCATTTGCTGATCTGTAGGGAATGTTCCAGCAGCGCCTGGAGCAATCCTAATCTCCTGTCACAAATGGCTGCTGTCTCCCTAGCTGCCCAAGCAGTGAGTGGCCACCAGATTCTCCTGTGCAGCCAGACCTAAGCTCAGGTTGCATGCCGCTGATGGTGCAGCTGGACGCCCAGCGCTGCTTGGGACAGCCCACCGGTTCAGAGGCAGGTCTCTCACACTTGCGGAGAGTCCTGTCTGGATTCACTAGGCAGCCCTAAGAGGCTGCCTGTAGGGGCCGCAGGTGGTGAGCAAATGTCATCAGGGGAATATTTCTGCCAGAAATCAAAAGGGCATGCAGTTCTCACCTGTCAAACTATATCCCTCATGTTTTCACATTATTATCAGTGAATGAGAAACTGGGGGCAGGAGAGATTCAGGTGAAATAGCAGGCCAAGGTCAAATAATATATACAGGGACAGAAAGCTAGTGATTGAAGCATCAAACTTGTATTCACAGTGGTCATCTGGGTGGATTGGTCTTCTGATTTCCAATCCACAGCACATACCTTGGCATTTTTTTCAGACTTATGCAGAGATTTTCATGCCAAATTTTCCATACAGTTGATTGCTGTGTGATAATAGTCACCAGGCTCATCTAGGAAATGCCTGAGCTGAGAAGTAGATTAATGGATAGATTTACTAATCTTTAATAATTTCCTTACTTAAAAAAATGACTCAGGGACAAAGAAATAGAGGGGCATCCGGAGGGAGAAATAGGCTGTGATTTCAGCTGTRAGCTGTAATGAAACGGGGAGTCAATGAGGCAGAGAGGAGTGGGGGGTTGTTCCAGATGTCAGCAGCATCACAGAAAGACTTTTCGCCTCTCCTGAAAGGGTAAACCGATGGGCTCAGCATCAAAGGGCCTGGAAAAGAGCAGAAAAGATGGAAGGGTGCCTCATGAGGCTTTAAAAGAGGTTAAAAAAAACCCCATAATGTTGCAGAATGAACAAGAGATGCTCAAATCCCAGTCTTTCTAAATGTGCTCTTTCTCAGCTCCTATCTTCTCCCTGTGTCTAACTCTCCAGCCTCATGCCTGGGCTGATAAGAATGCACTCTGTCCAGGAGATAAGCTATGTGTTGACTTTTGTCCCTGCTTTCCCCATTGCCTTCCTTTATCTTGTTTTGCCTGCACTGGTGATGAGAGACTACCACATCCCCAGGCATCAGATAGGTGTCCAGTAAGTGGCAGATACCTTTTAATCAGATGCTATTTCCATAATTGTTCATCTTCCCAAATTTTTGTTGCTAAGCAAAGCAGACTTATTGATAGGCTTTTTATGAGACATGATGAGGAAACACAATCCTAATGAAAATTTTATAATTATATTTTAAATAATAGCCTCAGGAGTATATGGATATCAACCCATTTAGGGAATTTTAGAGAAATCCAGAAGTTAATTAGATAAGCCTCTGCTAATGGACTAATCAGTCCCTTGAATACATCTTTATATATCTTGTTGACAAGACAGTGATGTTGACTGCATCCAGCTTTATTTTAAATCTCAACTATGAGAGACCTCTGTTGTTTATAATCAAATATTCAGACGGAGAAGAATTGACAAGAATGAGCTTTGTCTGTGCCATCTTTTTATGCTTATCACCTTTTGTATCCAGGGCAAATTACTCAGCAGTGTGTTCCATTTTCTCATTTTTGCCCTGTCTTTTGTAATCATCAGCCATTTGTCACTGATATTATTATGAATGTTGGCATGCCTGGCAGATGTCATGGTATGACCAATTCTTAGAATTCAACAAAAATAGGACTTTCAGCAGCATGAGTGAGAATAAGAACACTCCGTCTCTGACTTGCTTTGGGCTGCAATGACATTTTAGTTTGCAAAGATGTTGAAAACATGGTAGGACAATATTTAATGTTCACATGGCAAGCCACATCTATTGTTTTTTATAGGGCATGATTAAAGGAAATTTTTTAGAGTGTGTTTTAAAAAATACTAAAATCCAAAGTGGCCTCTGTGGTTAGAGGCAGTGTCCTTTGTGTGCATGTATATGTGTGTGAGCACATATACGTGTGCGCATCCTGGGTCTCTGAATGTGCATTTCCTGTTACTAAAAGATCTTTCAAGGTTCTTTAGTCAGAAAAATTACAAACTTGAGAAGTCTTTATTTTCATTGGATGCCATCTTGATTCTGCTATTCCATTTTACTCAGGGCACCCCAGATACTTCAATCAACTTTCCACTGGATTGGATATAGTCGGATTAGCAGCAGACTGGCTGACATCAACAGCTAACACTAACATGTAAGCAGATAAATGTGGTTTTGTGTAATCCAGGATAATTATTAGTGAGAGTCCATCATCTTAACTTCTTATGTGAAAATCTCCTTTTATTAGGTAGCCTCTAAAATAGTGATACCAACTTCAGAAGTATGAGTGTTTTCACTCTTGCTTAATAAAAAAGTCTGATATATCTTGATGCAAACTATACATGTATTTTAAAATACAAAAGGGACTTATTTCGGTGTTTGGGATTTATAATTACGTACAGTGTGAAAGAGAAATGAGACCAGATGTTGTATTTTACATAGTATGATTCTGCACTGTTCTTCATTCAATATGATAAACCACCCTTGTACATTATGCCAGTAATTAAAGTTCTTAACATTGGGGCTACAGAAAAATGAGAGAGCCTTTTGGAATAAGTTTTTAAAATAATTTTCTCTCCACTTAATATTATAATATTCTGTGAATGTAATATTTGAAGAGGGATATCATTCTGTAGATATTGTAATGGTGAATTATTTCTTTGAGATACATACATAAAATGTGGCCATTTCTACATTTCAGGTTCACCTATGAGATTGCCCCAGTATTTGTGCTATTGGAATATGTCACACTAAAGAAAATGAGAGAAATAATTGGCTGGCCAGGGGGCTCTGGCGATGGGATATTTTCTCCTGGTATATGATATTCCACCTTTTCTTTGTGTTTTTTTCCTCCTGATATGCCTTGTTATAAACCTAAGAAATTAAATACCTGGTTCATATTTCTGATTAGGTTACATAGGGTCTGTGTTGACCAAAAGAAGGAAATATGGCTAAATGCACAGGACCATTGAACCTGCCTACATGCCAACTACACTCTGTGTTTTAATATTAGTTACTTATGTTCAAAAGAAGCACAAGCAGAGACGATATTACCCAGTACTTCTTCCCATCATCCTACATTCAAGATGTATGGATAATATGGAACATAATATTACCCAGTACTTCTTCCCATCATCCTACATTCAAGATGTATGGATAATATGGAACAAAGAAATAAAGATTCTAATAAGGGAATTCATTCTTTGATGCTCTTCTCAGAGTTAGTGAAATAGAAAGGGTAGCCTCATTCAATAATACCTTCACTGTTCGAGGGTGCATAACAAGGCAGATCTATTCAGTAGAGCATATGTACTGCTGTAGTCTTTGAAATAACTAGGAGGGAAGCTGATTTACATTAATTTCAAGGGGGGCAGACAGTGCCTGGTGAGATCATTTCTTAGAGCTAAAAAAAGGGGGATGATGATTTCTTCAAGAGGTTTCTCATTCCTTTTCTTCATTATCATGCCGTTCAGTCTTTTCCATCTTGCTTTTTATAACCAGCCACTGCATTCTAAGCTCCAATGTTTACACCTCTCCCAGCCCAGAGAACCAACCTGAAACAACAAGCTGTGCCCTTGGCTCACGAGTGTGACCTTGGTTGGATACAGAAAAGAAATAGAAAGGCAGTGGGAAGAGAGAGTTACTGACCCAGGGAAAAGAAACCTGGTGTGCAGAGCATCACCTAATCAGTGACAGGGTTGGAGGGCATCAGTAGGCTGAGACAGTGGAGGGGAAGAGGCTGGAGCCATGGTGTCCAACATAGCAAAGGCCAAGTCCTGATCTCCCTTCAGCAAATCTGCAAAGGCAAGTGGATGATGAAAGAGAAGTGGGGAGGGGAAGAAAGAAAAAGGGAAAAGAAGAAATGACAGATAAGCAACAGTGGCCTCCCCCAGGCCCAGGCTTAAATTAAACATGTTTCATGTTTGCCTGCAAGTTCAGATCTGCTATTTTATGTTTTTAAGTATATAGAGCATTTTTTTAGGTGCTAAAGGAAAATGTGTTAGTTAAATGGAAAGGAAAATTAGCCTTTTTAAAAAAATGTCATTGAATACCAGCTGTGATGAATTTTATGCTGACTTTTATTTTATAGGGAATTTAGTAATTTTTCTTTGGTACTAAGTTTTTACCTTTGCCATCATTGCTTGACATTGATGCTGAAGGCATTTTTCATAGGGAACTCAGTAGGATTAGGAGATCAACATCATTTCTATCTTGATTTCTCCTTCCCTTACATGTTTGGTTGTAAGACTGAGCCGTCCCTGAGCCGGCATCCTCATCTCCATTTTAATAGCTCCAAGGAGTCAGGAAAGAATAACTGCACCTGTTGACCCTGAAAATTTGACTAATTTGACAGAGGGTCAGGTCTAATTAACCTGGTTGGTCATAGAAAACACACCCAAAGAAAGACTTCTCTTTGACAGTTACACTAGGCTAAGTATGGACTTAGGACTCACCCTTCCATCCTCATGGATAATGAGGAATTATTAGGAAGAAAACTGAAGCTTGATCATATAATCTCTCCCCTGGAGACTAAAGATCCATATTGCTCTCACCCAAGATGGAAGTCATAGAGGTCATGCTATAGTGTACCATAGATATTCCAAAGTTGAAGGGGCCGTGTCAACAGAGAAACCAATGGACAAAATGTGTTTTTTCTCTAATTCTTACACATCACAGAAGTGAGGCAGTTCATAGCATCCTTATTTTCTAATGGATGCTTTACTAAGTAGCCTCTAGCCTTGTTCCTGGGGTTCAAAGCATCTTATGATTTAAGCAGTAGGGATAGAGAAAATCACCCATCCCTTGTGGCTGTGATCTCAAAGTCCCACTCCTTGGACTAAATGTAAAAAGTTAGGTCTGTGAACTTGCATACAGAACTCAGCTCAGTTGATCTTACACTCCCATCTATAACACCCAGAGGCTTAGGACTCCTAGAAGAAACGTGCTTATGTGATCWCTTTGTGAACTAGAGAGAACTGGAGTATTCTTTGCTGCTCAGTAGGTTTTGAAGGACAAGAACTAAGGGGGGGGGACAGAAAGCTTTACTTAGCTACAACTTTTCCTATCATAGGAGATAAGAGTATGTAGAGTTTGTGTATCTGTCTCCTGCCTATTTTGCACACAGGCTCTATATTCACTCAGGGCTGCAAAGCCTGAGGATGACTGAGCTACAAAAAGGAGTGAATAAAAGCAAGGACATTTCTTGGATAACTGCAGTGTGAAGATCACCTTCTTCATCTACATATTCCCCTTTCTCCTCTCCCTCTCTTCCTCCCCCAGACTCTTTGAGAAGAATGACTAGCAACAGCAGTTCTCAACTGGGAGGCTTCCCTTCCCCTGCCAAGGAACACTTGGCATTGTCTGGAGGCATATTTGGTTGTCATAACTGGGGATGGGGATGCCGCTGGTACCTGGTGGGTAGAGGCCAGGATGATGCTAAATAACCTATATTCCCCAGGACAACCCTCATCACAAAGAATTTTGTAGCACAAAATATCAGCAAGTTCCAGGATTGAGAAACCATGAGATAGACTGAAAATTTCTTTGACAGCTGGCCTCCCTGTCCAGCATCCCACAGTTAGCCTTTTAGACAGGGTTATCTGCTCAGTGCAGGTCTGACCCGGATTCTGCTTCTCCTGTGTCTCTGGGGTCCAAATCTGCCCTCGTTCTGACTGGTAGGAAGCCAGGATTTGGGTGATGACTATTCCATCCCAGGTGGCCTGTCTGGGTCAGAGCCCAGGGCTGGTGAGACAAAGGTCACAGCCCTGCATGGGCCATTAACCTGGCATGGAGCCCTCCTGCTCCTCAGCCCCCAGGAGAAAAGGCAACTCAAAGCATTCACATCATGGCTGGACCTGGGGGTGTCTCCCTTTGGGTGGGGGGGCACTATCTTCACTCTGCCTGACAGTCTCATGCCTCATGCCAGCATATTCATTTGCATTCATAACAATCTGTCTATTTCCTGGATGGCAAAACTTCGAAGCTTCCCCCACAGCTCTGGGGAAAGCTCACTTTTCTTTGCCTGTCAATTGAAATCCTACTTATAAGATACAAACCTTGTCTTATGAAATTCCTGACAGTCTTAGAAAAGTAGTTCCATATGGGCTTAACCTTTCTTAGTTGTGTATTTTCCTATAATTATGAAATGAGACTTTGTTAACTAATACTATTATATTTCTATATTGTCTTTAAGAGTAAAGAACTGTTTTGAGATGTGAATACATGACTGTGATACAGACTTGGATGTTTATCCTGAATTCTCTAAGAAATCAATTTAAAGTCCACATTGTTAACAGCAGCTTATTTGTCTCAAACATAAGTGGCTATGAATTCACTGGGACCACTGATGCTGTGTTCTATGTAAAAAAAAAAAAAAAAAATCCACAGTGCCCTCTCGATACCATCTTTCTGATTAGGTGTTCAGTCAGCTGATCTTATAAATATTGTACCGTCATGGCACTTTGAACCATTTAACTTTTTTTAAAACTATCTTTTTAGTTGTAGACGGACATAATATCTTTATTTTTATTTATTTTATTTTTCTGTGGTGCTGAGGATTGAACCCTGGGCCTCACGCATGCGAGGCAAGCGCACTACCACTGAACTACAACCACAGCCCGAGCCATTTAACTTTAATCTTTAACTGACTTGACCAAGGATTTTAGTGCAACAAAGAAATAGCATAGAGGTCCATCATATCTGACCTTTGGGGAAGGTCTGTCTCAGCATGAACTGAAATGAAAAGCAATAACTATTCTCAGGCCAAATGTGCCTTTTCTGAACCCTCTTGTTAGAGCCTTTAAGTCTGAGGATTCAGTTCAAGGGACAAGCAATAAGGTTCTCTCCTACATCTAAGGAGGACAGTGAAAATAAGGGATGTTGTTTGCGCATGAGGTGTTGATGGTAATGAACAGAAAAAGTCACTGTGTCTTGCTGTGCCCTGTAGGTGGCGCTATATCTAACATGTATGCCATGCTGATTGCTCGCTTTAAGATGTTCCCAGAAGTCAAGGAGAAAGGAATGGCTGCTGTCCCCCGGCTCATTGCCTTCACGTCGGAGCATGTATGTGTTTCTGTTCTTTCCAAGTTGAGGTTATATTCCATAAAAAGCTCAGTTGAAGGAATCACAGCTAAAAATGCATAAATCCCAGAGATTCTCTTTCTGGAAGATACTTCTTGGGAGAGAATGAGGGGGAGCAAACAGCTGAGTGGTACAATAGAGTATCCTCCTTGTCTCTAAAATTCAAGAAAAATGTGAAGATAGAGCAGAATGTTTTTATCTCTGGTTCCCATCCTTTGCTTCGCTGTAATGATGTTGTGTGTTGGGGGAAGGGGAGGAGGAGGAAGGTAGAGTGACTGTGAACTCTTTGAATCATCTGTGCTGTGCTCTTAAGTCAAAACTCCACAGAACCCTGTTGATATGTCTTTCCGTCAGCTGATTGGATAGATAGTCTACCATCATGGTGCCTTGAGCCATTTAATGTTAGTCTTTGGTTGACTTGACCAGAGGTTTTATTATCATGAAAAAAAAAAATAGCATAGAGGTCTGTCATTTCTGATCTTTGGACCAGCTCCTTCTCAACCAAGCACAGGCTCCTGCCTATCACCTGGATGCTGGCCAAGCAGAAGCCAAGAACTCTGGTCTTTCTTGTGGAATGCTGTGGCATTGAACTTCACAGTCTTTCCATGGCCTTCAAAGAGTTCATGCCATTCTTCCTACATCCACTTTGGCAACGAAAAACGTGACCCAATCTGATCACATAACTAAAGGGCTTTAGCCTGCCTGTCAACCATCCAAACCCATCCTTCCCTCCCCCCACCTCTCTCCGCCTCCCTCTTTCTCTTTCTTCCTCCTCTTTCTCTTCCTCTATTTCTCTCTCCCTCTCTCTCTCACATGCTAGGGTCAAGCAGAAAGCAAGTTGCCAGCCACACTATAGCTGTTCCCCAACCCTCCTGCCACACAGACCCTGCAGTCAACCAGAGCTTCATTCCTTGACAGGTGTCAGATAAGCATTAGCTGCCAAGCAATTCATCAAACTGTTCCTTAATGACCTCTGCCTTAAAGTACCACAACAACTGCCTCAAAAAAGACCCAAAAGCCCTCTAATAGCTGGGGAAATGGGAGAGAGGGAGGACAGAGAGAAGTCTGTAAGAAGACTAAGGGCTTCTGCAAGGAGATGTTGGTGGGGAGAAGCTAGGAGCCATAACAGGTCGCAGGTATACCACAGACTGTTTCTTCTTTCTATTTCAAGTAGGGGGTGTGTCTGTGTGTTCATATCGGGGAAACAAAAGGAAAGTACAGACTGATAGCCAGTGGATACAATTCACTACCATCTCAGTAACCATGGAATTAATGATTGTTTAATTAATTCCATGATTAATACCTTATATCTGATTACTATTTCACAGTCTCCAAATACTTCCAATATTATAAACTTGTTTGATTCTCCTAACCTTGTGGGGCAGGTATTGTTACAAGCATTTTTAAATTGAAAAAGCTGAAGTTAGCCGGGTGGGTAGATCCAGAATTAAATGGGATTTCTCAATTCCCAGGCTGTTGGAGCCCTTGCCCGGACTACTGCTGTAAAAACTAAACTCAAAGATCAGAGTTTTATATACAACACTCTCATCAATTGACCTTGATCCCTAATCAAATTTCCTCCATGATCTTTTTTCTTAATGTGAAGGTTATTATTTTTATTCCCTCTCCCTACCAAAAGAAATCATCCTCTTTATCTCCTAGGTCTGGACTGTGGGGGGAGGGGCACTTTCAGAGCTCATCTGAAGCGCTTCCATGTCACCTTGAAGGCTAACCCATACGTTCTGGACAAATGAGTGCTTACCAGTGTGTCCTTTCCTTGAAGTGCTAGGTTTGGAAGTCACACAATTGCAATCTCTAGTTCCTTTGGGCTCTGTATCTCAGGCTTTTATGTTCAATTAATTATTTAGCATAGCTCTTTCTGGCTTCAGGCCAAAGGCACATATTCCTTTTCTAATTTTACAATAATTTTATTTCCACCTGTCCCAGAAATAGCTCTCTATAGGCTAACAATAGAATATTACCAAATCTTTTCTCAAATGCCTTTTTTTTTAGACTACATGATGTCAGTCCTTGTGTGGTGGGGGAGATTCTTTCTCATAGGGAGAAGGGTACCGGAATGGGAAGGGCTGCTACGTTTATCCAGTGAGGACATGGGGGGGACCAGTGGATGAGGAAGGTTTGCTGTAGGTATCTTTCTTCCTGTTCTTTGAGAGGCTTCCAGAACCCAGGACTTTTGGAAAATCAAGGAGAGCCTTAGAAAACATGTCCTTGCCTCAGTGCCAGAGACATAAAAAACTCTACATAAATATTAGGTACCTTTAAAAAATGACCTTGTTTTATAGATTGAAGTAACTAAGCCTCGGAGATGGGGAATGCTTTGCCTCAGGTTTCACAGTCAGTCCGTGGCAGAATCAGACCTACAGCTTCAACTTCCCACTCATCCAACCCAACTACCGGGCTGGAGGACCAAATGCCTCCTATAGCTGCTGGCTGCTCTAAATTCACTTGTAGCATCTTGTCCCAAATTCTATTATCTCCATGTTGGTTATTCTAGTGCTAATATAATTTCTTGATCTATTGAAGCAGGTCAAGTAACTGATCTTTTTTTCTATTCTGAGCACTGAATTTATAACTTGGCATGCCTAGAACCATAGAGATGGAAATGATGTTGACAGACTCTGTAGTCTACTGCACCCAACCAGAAGCTTCAGGAAGGGAAGAGTCATCTCTTTTCTAAGTGACACTTTACTCTGTCTCAGTCATACATCAGGGTTACCTTCCTCTTTTCTGGCCACCAATTTTGAATAAACCATCACCTAGCTGATAAGGAGGGCAAGGTGTTAAATTTTTCTATTTGTTAAGATCCACTGTTTTCTTATAAAACTTGAACAGAGCTAACTTAAATAATATAGCCAATAAGACTATTAGGAGAAGTAAACAAATCACTAAGTTGAAATAAGAGCTCATATTTAGCCCAAGACTGAGAAGTCCTTAGAGTATTTTCCTCCAAATTACAGAACCACAAAATCTCCCAACAAAAACTGAAAGAGGTCTTAAAGATCATTTGATCCCACCCTCATCCTTTTCTGGAATTTCCCTGATTCTTCAACGATAGAAAGGCTTGGCAAAAATTAAACTGAGGAATCCTAAGTCTTTTCTTGAAAGTAGGTTTAGAGGGAAGTTAAGTTCCCACCTCAATAGTTCACATCTGTAGCTTTGAATCCTTTGAAAGCCTAAACCATGAGCTTAATTTCACATTCCTCTATTTGCTAGTGTGACATAATCTCTTCCAGAGATAGCTTTCATGAAACAGTATATTATCATCTAGGAAAAATGTTCTTCATAATCATAACAGACAATGGGATTTCTTAGGCAAATCACCATAACTAACTCACTCCAGTCTTCACACACCAAACATAGCTCATGTCTGCATCTCRCAGAACTGATCATCAGTATCTTACCCTTGTCCCTCCTGGCCCTGGGCCTCTTCCATGGAGAATTCTCACAGGTGCTTCAGAAAGATGGTTTTCACATATGCTGAGGGGGTTTCAATTCCAAGGGTAGATCTCAAAAGCAACAAAAAATACAAAAACATAAAAAATAAAAAAAAAACAGTGACCCAGGAAGCTTTGAAAAAACCAACTCACACAAAAAAATGTAATTCTCTCCATTAGGCAAAAACTTAGCCTGACAGAATGGACGACAAGTAAAAATGTGAGCTAAGTTCAACACACCTGCTCTGCTTGGCACACCTACTCCCTTTTCATTTCAGAATGCCCATTGCTCCCATGCTCCATCCAGTCCCATCAAACCACACTCTCAGAAAAGAACCTGAAAGCCATGCAGAGGTGTAAATGATTAGGAGCCAAGTATTGCCTCTCCTGGTGGCATCTCCATTACAATGGATGACAAAGGATTGTGCAGTGAGACATTTTCCTGGTTCCTTTCTTCACCCATTCAGTGCTGCTCTGACTCGCACTGTGGAGACATCAATGAACAACACAGATCCAGTGCCTGGTCTCGGGAACATGTGTTGTCCTGGGGAAAAGAGGAAAGAGAGAGGGTCTGGAGGGGCAGTCACCTTTCTCAGTGCCCCCAAGGTCACACCAGGTGACTGATTGACTCCTCCTTGCTCCAAGGTCAGGTTAAAAGTGACAGACTTGTATTTCTTTAGATTAGTAGATTAAAGTCCATGAGCTTTGGAGTTGACCAGAAATGGTGACAAGCCCTTTTCTGCCACCTCCCAGGGCATGAATGTGGAATACTGACTTCATTTTCTCCATTTTTTTTTTTTTTTTTTGGTATTGGGGATTAAACTTGAACTCAGGGGCACTCAACCACTGAACCACATCCCAAGCCCAACTTTTTTGTATTTTTACAGTCTCTACAGGCTCTCACTGAGTTGCTTAGCACCTCACTGTTGCTGAGTCTGGCTTTGAATTCGTATCCTCCTCTGTCAGCCTCCAGAGCTGTTGGGATTACAGGCATGCACCACTGTGCCTGGCAATTTCCTCCTTGTTTGTAAGGTGGGAGTGATGATTCCTAGCTACATAGTTTTGGGGAGGATGAAGTGCAATGAGACATATATGCACAGTGCCCAGCATCATGAGCACTCCATAGAAAGTAGCCAACATTGTTGTTATTATAACCAGCCACCCACTGGTGTCCCACAAGGAGAAAGAACTGAGCCCATCCAGGTACCAAACTGGAGGCAACAGAGAAAGCAGTGATCTAGGGACATGTCAGATTATTTCCTTAAATTATGTCCCCAAATACCAGAGCAATACTCAAGATTGAGAGAGTTTAGATTCTCTATTGTTACTTGTAGAATTTTGAGATTCCCTATGTACTCTATATGACATATATGTGTGGGTATATATATTATTTTTTATTTTATTTCTAATTAGTTATACATGACAGTAGAATGCATTTTGACATATTGTACACAAATGGAGCACAACTTTCTCTGGCTGAATATGGTGCAGAGTCACACCAATAGTGTAATCATATATGTATATTGT